ACCGTAAGTAAGACCAACCGTTCCTATCCGAGATATACACTCTACCTTACCAGTCTGCTAACCGTAAGAAAGACCAACCGTTCCTATCCGAGATATACACTCTACCTTACCAGTCTGCTAACCGTAAGTAAGACCAACCGTTCCTATCCGAGATATATACTCTACATTACCAGTCTGCTCACCGTAAGTAACACCAATCGTTCCTATCCGAGATATACACTCTACATTGCCAGTCCACTTACCGTAAGTAAGACCAATCGTTTGAAGGCGACTTTCAAGACATTCAGATGAACTTTCGGTGGCTGTATCAAAGTCACTGCCGAGAATTGTACTGTACAGAAAGAAATTTCAACTTTTTTTTTTATCTTACTCGGTGAAATAGATTTACTGAAAACTTTTGACAGACCCAAATATATATATTCGGGAGGAAAGTCGTAAAAATGGTCCTCGTGAAGTAGCAGATTTTAATTAAACTAAAACTGTAAGCCAATGGCTAACTTATACCCCCGCTCCTATATAAATCAGAACTGTAAGCTAAAGGCTTAATAAGGCAAAGCAATATAGTTTCCCACCAATAATGATTTCTTCATTGGCTGAGCTGTACACTTATTCAAGTACATAGGACAGTCACAAACTTCATGTACTCTCTCTAAATGCGCAAACATACTTGCAAACAAAATTTTGTTAGCCCAGATGAACGAGTTTTGCTGAAATCGTCGTAGGCGTTAAGGAAGAAATGTCAGGACACAATTTTAACAAAGGGCCATAACTCCTTAAAAAGAGTCGAAATGAAAAAATACTACCCTGATGCACGACATCAGCGGGTAATTACTATATCTGTAAGCTTTCATTGCAATTGGCCCAGAAGTTTAGGAGGCAGACAAAGTTTTTTCAACAAAGGGACATAACTCCCTTTAAAAGGGTCGGAATGAAAAAGTACTGTTTGGATGCACAACGTCAAGGGGCAGTTGCCATATCTGTAAACTTCCTTTTAAATTGGCCCAGTAGATTAGGAGAAGTTGTCAGGACAAGACTTTTTCAACAAAGGGCCATACCTACATAAGAAAGGGTTTGAAAAAAATACCTGGATGCACAACTTACGGTGGTAGTTATCATATCTGAAAAAATCCGTTTAAATTGGGAGCACAGTGTTGGAGGAGTTGTATGGAGAAGTATTTTTCAACAAAGGGCCACTACTCCGTAAAAAGGGTCAGATCGAAAAGAATAATACCTGGATGCACAATTTCAGGTGAAAGTTATCATATCGGAAAAGTTCCGTTGAAATCAGGAGCATAGTGTTTAAGGAGTTGTCTGGAGAAGTATTTTTCAACAAAGAGCAATAATTCCGTAAAAAGGGTCAGAACGAAAATATACATGGATGCACAATTTCAGTTGATAGTTATCATATCTGAAAACTTTCGTTGAAATTGGCTCTATAGTTATGGAGGAGTTGTCCGGACAAGGATTTTTCAACAAAGGGCCTTAACTTTGTAAAAAGGGACAGGATGAAAAAGAATACCTGGATGCACAACTGCGGGTTCGGGTGGTAGTTATCATATGTGGGAAGTTTGGTTGAAATCGATCCATAACTTTAGAAGGAGTTGTCTGGACAAAAAAATTGAGGATTTTATCAACAAAGGGTCATGACTTCGTAAGAAAAGGTCAGAACAAAAAAATGATACCTGAATGCACAACTTCAGGTGGTAGTTATTATATGTGGAAAGATGCGTTGACATTGGTCCATTACTTTATAAGGAGTTTTCCGGCAAACTTTTTCGACAGACAGACAGACAAGCTGATTCCAGTATACCCTCCCCCTAACTTCGTTGCGGGGTTATAATAACGCAAGATGTAATGATAATTCTGTGAGCCCATCGGAAGTAACACATGTCAGTTTTGAAATTAAGATTAGATCGTACGAAATCCGTCACCATTTTACTTACCGGAGCTGTTCTGGGTCAGCCTCGTTTCGAAGCCTAAGGTAGATAATGATGTTAAGAGACTGATTGAGGGCTACAGGGGTCAAACTGCCTTTCCTAATGCTGTGTCGACCAGATATCTGCAGAATACAATTACTTGTTAAGCAAGATTATGACAAATTAATGTAGGACTTGTCAGTGCAAAACACATTTTAATATAAAAACTTATTTTAAAGGACTAACTATTACCTTTTTATGTCAAGAAACGAAACGAATGTCTTACCTGAGGGAAGTGCCGATGTATGTCGATGAGATCATTCTTCACTGAAATGAGTTAAAGTGGGAACACTTATCTTCAATTATCATTATTGCCATCGAGAGGAACTGACATAATATTTCATGTAAATGTTTTCCCCTTATATAGCTAGACGATATATAATAATATTGAGGTTTTATTTTTCGAATTTACAAAACAGTTCAAGAAATGACAAGTTTCCAGGACCGAAAAAACCCATTGATATGTGAATAATGTATATGAAGAATAACAAAACTACCTAAAACATACGTGTTAAAAATATAAGAAAAGGAATCTGAACAGTAAAGTTCCTCGTTATCGAGAGCAAGCTACTCCCGCTTTAAATGAATATTCATGGCTGCGTGTGGTGTGTCTATTACTATACTCACTAATGTCCACTTTAGAGCAGTCCGGCATTTCCGTTGACATGATTTTTTGTACAGTGGTGACTACCTTCTCTTGTCCGTACAGTAACACTGGTGACCTGGTCAGGGCTGACAAGGTCAAATAGAAATAGTAATTGTGAAGTCCCAATTTTTCTTTTTTTGAAAGTTCAAATCAGAGTCGCTCATGGACTGAGAGCTTCTCAGTGAATTATAACGAAAAGTGAATGTCATAAATTAAGGGATGTAATAATAGAAGCAAGTCTTTGGATACACGTATTTAACCGCGAGTCAAGCTTTGCACAGTATAACTGGCCATATGATGCACTAGAAATGTTTACTTCGTTTGAATTCATCCGGAATGCTTCAAAGTTATGAATTGAACATTAAACAAGGTCATATGCATCTTTCTACGCAAATCCCTTTTCCTTATCAATCCTTACAATATTGCAACAGCATAACGTTTGGCAATACCACCACAGATGGAATAGTAATTGACTGCAGACGCTACAATATATACAGGACCCTGATCTACATATAGTATACTTTTATCTGTGTGTGGCTATGTTTTACTGAATGTATGATATTAAGTTGAGTGTTAACTTATTTTTTTAGTTAAATGATTAAAGAATTACAAGTAAAAAACCTACCTTTCACAGGTAAAATCATTGTGTAATGTTCTGATCTGCCTGAAATCAGAAAACAGGTAAAAAATTAATACAAAAATGTATCGCTGGCAATCTCTTCTCAAATTGATGAACTGATTGTAAAGAAACCTCTTTTAATAAAACGCAAGTAAGATAAACAATATATAGACGATGTTTAATTGGTTTCCTGTAGAATACATGTATACAACGCGACTATATTTTTTAACTTTTTCTTTATTTGCTACGGTTCAGAGAACTTCTCTAAGAAATATCCTATTCATTGTATAAATACCTTATTGTGTATATACAAAAGTAACGAAACCGCCACAATATGAAACGTGCTATTTCATGTCTGTTTATGACATTATATATAAGTAACGAATATGATACCAAATTTATAATTTCTGATTCTGATGCTTTCGTACTTTATATGTAGGAAATGACTATGTAAAACTATGTAAACTTGCATAATTGATCAAATTTCGGAGACATTTTGCCAAAGGTCAGCCCCTCCCCCAAGTATGAAATATGAATTACATTTAATACCCATCATACCCCTATGACGTATCGTATATTTATTGGACACTTCCCTGTCAATATATGACACAAAACATCGCTTACGTCTGAAAACGCTCTCTCCGTCTGTGATATAAAACAGTACTTAACAATTGATAAGCGCTCGTTTCTTTATGACTTCAAACATTAATTAAAGTTGAAACCCCTCCGTCTACTTGAGACATAAATCATAACTTACACTTTATACCCTTCCATCTCCCTGTGTGCTTGCCTTCCATTGATTCTATCCTTTTGATTTGCATTTTTACTCTGCTTCTCAATGCCCTGGAAATATTATACAGGTTGTAGGCAACACAGAAATGTTCTCAGTTGTTTTCAAGAGTATCAAACATGCTATTTATATTCAAAGATAACAAACATGTATCATGTATGTATATATATAATATGAAAAGTTTTTTTTTCAACAATGAGTCTTTAGTATTTTCATCTCGTCAAGGAGATTCCTCAGTCTGATATATTATATCAACAAACAGTAGACATATATTATTCAAATTCGACGTAGCATTTCATTTTATCAAGCTTTACAATGGGATATTTAAATGTTTTACAGATTTCCTTGGACTGACACTGTACTTTGATAGAAAGGTGTGACATATTGCCCATAATAATTGTCCTTTGTCTGGCGCTAAACATTAGTGATAGAAAGGGGGACATTTTGCCCAATATAAGAATCAGTTGTCTGGAACTATACATCTGCGATAGTAAATGGAACATATTTGCGACTATAAGATACAATACATAAGTGATAGTAAATGGGGATTATTTCCCACTATAAGATTCCTTAGTCTGGCAATATACATAAGTGATAGAAAGTGGGGATTATTTCCCACTATAAGATCCATTAGTCTGGCAATATACATTAGTGATAGTAAGTGGGGATTATTTCCCACTAGAAGATTCATTAGTCTGGCAATATACATAAGTGATAGTAAGTGGGGATTATTTCCCACTATAAGATTCATTAGTCTGGCAATATACATTAGTGATAGTAAGTGGGGATTATTTCCCACTATAAGATACCTTAGACTTGCACAATATATTAGTGAAAGTAAGTGGTGATTATTTCCCACTATAAGTTTCCTTAGTTTCGCGTTATACATCAGTGATAGTAAGTGGAGATTATTTCCCACTATAAGTTTCCTTAGTTTCGCGTTATACATCAGTGATAGTAAGTATTATTGCCCACTAAAATATTCCGTAGTCTGGCACAATATATCTGTGATAATCAGCGGGTCATGCACCAGAGATGGTGACAAAGTTCTACTACCAACCCATTGTGGGGTCAATGAAGCCTGAGAACATTACCTTTTGAAATTGAAATGTGAATGAAAGGCTTTGAAAAGTAATTTGACATAGCATGGCAAGTTCTCGCATGTTTAAAAGTATTTCTATAACAAACTGGACCTTTTGAGCGGGAATCTCAATAATGTAACTAAGAATACACTCTCGTGGCAATAAAGTGACATGAAATAGAACCCTACTCTGAAGTGTTAGGAATAAACCCTGTGTCAGATTCCCAGGTCTGTCTGTCTCGGTCAAACTTCACCGCTAACCAGAAACGTGGCCTACAAGTGGTGTTCAGGACCATAAATATGTCCCCAATATTGACCTCAAGTTGACCCGCCGTCCTGTCTCCTTGCCAGGTGAAGTTACTCCTGTCAATAGACACATTTTATCGATAGTGAAACTGTAAATTAAATTGTCAAAAGGTTGAAATATAATATGATATAAAAATATAAGTTGTAAAACGCTGTCAAAATCATATAAATAATGAATTTACAAGGTGGTGATTTTGGACCAGCTAACAGTTGTTCTTTCAGATGAAATCATCAAATCTTAGAAAATAGGAATAGTTTAACAAATTCACTGTTTGAAAATGCTCAATTTTAGAGTCCAAACTCGAGAGTCTCCCTCCAAAATCGGGCGAGTTGGCAAGCATGTATCATAGCGGTAATGTCGTTTGCCGTGTGAGTATATTATATCTACGTTTCGTGTCAGATCATTGGCTGACAAGGTACATTTTAACCCGAACTATCATATTTTATGCAACTCTGAGTTAGGATTTAAGAAATATAGTTCCCAAAATGGAGGTTCATGGGTACTCCTAAGTGGGACAGAGTTTTCTCTTACCCTGGACAAGGTAAGTGTATATTTCAATGTCTTTTTTGCGAGGAGATTATCTTATCCTGATAAATGTATGACGTCANGTTCCCAAAATGGAGGTTCATGGGTACTCCTAAGTGGGACAGAGTTTTCTCTTACCCTGGACAAGGTAAGTGTATATTTCAATGTCTTTTTTGCGAGGAGATTATCTTATCCTGATAAATGTATGACGTCAAGTCAACAAATCAATAAATAAAAAAAACATTTCATATATGGCAGGTCCAACGGGAATGAAAAATTCCTCTTAGAAACGGGAGAAAACTATTCATCGCGAGGGGGATGGGGGAATAATTAGTATTTCTAATTGTACATTGTGACCACCCTCCCTCCTAATCATGGATTCTCAAATTACACTGTCCTCTCTTTCCACCACGAAGGAAATGACTGCATACCTTGTGTAAAAGAAGTCACCATTGCTGTTGTTCTCCTTCATCCATTTTAAAGCCTCTTGATTCACTGAAATCCATATTGATGACCAATTAGAGATAACGGATTACAATGGAAACATTATTATGGGAAAAGGGAATAACTTTTTATCTAAAACTAGACTTTAGTTTGTCAAGTAGGAAAACAACTGCAGTGTTTTGAAATTATCGAGTTAATTGTGCAGTTAATTGACTAGATTTCATGTTTACTAAAGAACTGTTTATAACTACCCTTGGTTCCCAATGAAGCTAAAATGATATGTAATTCTTTGACGTTTTGTGTTTTGGCCAAGCCTAGGTGATATCGTCTTTTTGAGTAATAGGTACATTTGAATAGAATTTAATCAATTAGAAGTTTTCTAACCTAAAATAGTTTTTATGGCTTCCTTTGGCAACCTATCCTCTTTCATGTTGAAGCTGTCCATTACATTTCCTCCATAGTAACATATGTACACCGGGATCAGCAGAGGATATGCTCCTAGGCCTCTGGACTTTATGATTTCATTTTTTTTTATTCGTTTTTAAAAAATAACTTAATTTCAAATCACTGAGGTTCTGTTAAAGGCATTTTAAGATGTATTTCAAGTACATTTTGAAAAAACGTACGTGTAAACAAATGTTTCAGAATGGTATCATTGACAAATGCAGTGTATATTTAAATTGTATGACTTTTGTGATGGTGAATATAATGCGGTATGAAGCTGAAAAGCTATATTGGTAAATGTAACTTATGCAGGTTCAAAGTATGTTGCATTTACCATCACTAAAGTTCTAAATTGTTTAGTTACATGCTTCAACAGTGGTTGAACAAACATCTCTAATTATATTGTTTGAATGCGAGGTTAACCGGAATGTTTTATTAAAGTTTTCAAATCGTACATCACTGCTAAGAACATCAGTAGTGTTGACCTATAAAATGTATACAATGTATATTTGATGTTAAATGAGTGTCATACATATAAAGTGTCTTTCAATTAAATATTTATCGAAAGTTACTGCTTATTAACGACGAAAGTCGACAGAATCGACATTCTTTGAGGGCTGGTCACAAGTTCAGAATCCGGCCAAGGGATTGCGCGAAACAATCTGGAATTATCCAAAAGAATCAATAATAGTTCAAATGAAAATATGATAAATTAAATATTTCATCAGATAGGGTCTCACCTTTTTTATTATGCGCACAGTTGAGTTCAACGGTGTCGATGGAGAATGGTAGACTGTCGCTGATGAGTGATTTTCTGACCTGTTCCTGAGTACAGTTATGGAAGACTTGTGTGACAGAGTTACCCACCTTGTTGCTTAGGACAACCTGTATGATGACATTGAGTGATTACATTATATCGAAGAAAATGCCTAACCTGAACAGAATGAGAGTTGTATCAAAAGTTATGAATAGCGTGATAAATAAGCCGTATCCTATACATCATGACTACTTTAGAAGTGTTCGGTTTTGAGTGATGTCGACCTTCATTTCATGTTTGCCTTTTAAATTTTGACTGTGAATTCATGCTATATGATCTAAAGTGACAAAATAAAAGGAAATGAAACGACGTCAGAAATCCAGATAATTTCATAGCGTCATGAAGAAAACAGATGCAGAGTCAGGAGCGCATGCAGAATTTTGGACCATAAAAATGATTTGGAAATCGAGGTTTCTTTTTGCAAATTTCCCAAACTTTCTTGATCGTGTGATAAATATCTAATTTTCTTTCTCAATTCAGATGAAAATTGTGGAACTCATCACGAATTGTTCGTTTTCCGTCGCCAGAGATTTGCTTAAATAAATATTCTGAAACTTGTTGCATATACGGTACTTTTTAACAGTGATATAGAAATTATATTAATGTGAAATTGATGGCTTCTTATTGTATTTTCCTTCATTATTGAACGAGGAATGACAGAGTTGGGAACATCAAGCTTGCCTCACTAACAACATGCATCCTTCTCTTAGAGAACTCATTTCATTCTACCACAATTGCTCTTCACCCATTCACTTGACCATTCTCATATAAATATTATGAAATATTGAACCGGAGCGCCCGGAGAACACCGACACCATTAGGCAGGTGACCTATACTTTTCATGTCCGATCGGGAAATCGAACCCCCAGCTATCTTGGTGAAATGCCAATGCGCTTATCCACAGCAGCATCCGACTACCGAGTTGTGGTGTCAAATGACCTCTACCAATCATAATGTCATATGTCAATAACTCCGTTACACTTACAGACATGATCTGATCCCCCAAACTGAGCCAATTGTTGAGTGACTTGTCAAGAATCTTCTGGATAAATATGCCAGTTATATTTCCACCTGCTATTTCCAGCTGAGTGTCCAGAAATGGCATTGGCACTTTCACAGTGAATTTAGGGTCATGACTGTTTGCCCTGTATACAGATAATAAAAATTGTATTTTTGTTTAGTAAGGTAATGGTTTTTATGACAATGTTAAAAGTGATGTTATAGAGGAAGTATTTTTCATAATTTATAATCCATGAATATATATAATTCTTAGCGTGGCAATCAGTACAGTCATAGTTACATAAGCACTAAATATATATCTATAAAAATGTCGTTTTAAAATACAAATATATTTACTTTTCTGGTAAACAGGGAATCATTGGCATGACCACCTCATAATTGGTGAGTTCGTTTTCATCACTGACACTCGAATCCTCAGACGTTTCGCTCTTCGCCTTTGGGTAGAACTGATCAATGGTTTCTTCTTCAGGCTCAAGGCTGTCTCCTACAAAAACCAACAAAACACGCCTCTCTGACAGATTCTAATAAGCACTCTGTCAAACTAACAACTTCATATCAAATACAGATTGAGTCTCCAGTCAAACCAACTGAACAAGCATATCTCTTAATGATGTAAACGTAGTCCACTGTCAAACAATAGCGAAATCTCTTGCAAATGGAGAACATTGTCAAAATAACTTATATTTTTTAATTGGAATTTAGTCCACTGTCAGAACAACAAATCTATCTCTTACAGATGATACAGGAATGTATGACCCTCGTCTAGCCAACTGAACTTTTGACTCAAGGTATTTTTTCATGGTAAACATTCTTGACTCCATGTTGTTATCATTTAAAACTCTGCTGACTCGCTGCATTTATAATGTGACACTTACCCGACTCATTGCCTTTGCCACGGTGATAATTTCCTGACTCGCTGCCTATTTCAGGATGAGATTTTCCGGACTCACTGATATTGTCATTATGTCGTACGTAACACGAAATCGCATCCCTGTCAACAGCGAGGGGGAGATTCATGGACAAGACTGGTGTCACTTTCTGTTTTCTTGAATCAGAAATATGAACTTTCATCCCAAGGCTATCTGGTCGGTTTGAGGCATCCCTGGAAACCAATTCAAAAGTTTCCATTGGCCCATGAGGGATGCTTTTTTGTGTATGAACAATATGACTGGCACAGCGGGAAAAGCCTGCAGCGCCTGCATGGTTGCTGGAATGTCCCATCAGTGTGACAGGAAGCGTGTTGTACTTAGGATCTGTAAACACACAGATGTAATAATACACATTAATGACATGACGTGTTGTACTTAGGATCTGTAAACACACAGATGTAATAATACACAATAATGACAGGACGTGTTGTGATTTGTAAACACACTGATTTAATAAAACCCATTAATGCAAGGACGTGTTGTGTTATGTAAACACACAGCTGTAATATTACACATTAATGACAGGAAGTGTTGTACTTAGATCTGTAAACACACAGATGTAATAATACACATGCATGACATGACGTGTTGTACTTAGGATCTATAAACACACAGATGTAATAATACACATTAATGACAGGACGTGTTGTGATCTGTAAACATACAGATGTAATAATACACATTAATGACAGGACGTGTTGTGATCTGTAAACACACAGATGTAATAATACACATTATTGACAGGACGTGTTGTTTTATGTAAACACACAGATGTAATAATACACATTAATGACAGGACGTGTTGTACTTAGAATCTGTAAACACACATATGTTATAATACACATTAATGACAGGACGTGTTGTACTTAGGATCTGTAAACACACAGATGTAATAACACACATTAATGATAAGAAGTGTTGTGATTTGTTAACAAACATCAGTGTGACAGGGCGTGTTGTGATCTGTAAACACACATCAGTGTGACAGGAAGTGTTGAGATATGTAAATACACATGAGAGTGACCAGGTTTTTTTTATCTGTGAACAAATCAAAATATAAAGAGGTTTTAATAAATTGATTATTATTCTTTTTAATACGGTTAACGACCGTTTCTGTTCATAGCATAAAAAAGCACTCCATACTGGTTCTCAGAGAGAGCAATGTTTACGAACGACGGAGAATTCATTTGAATCTTTACATACTTAAAATTATTTTGCATAATGGATAGACAAAGTAACTTTTATTTCGTAACTTAATCTTCAAAGATGTTTTATAGAACAACCACGTAAAGCCAGTGAATACTTACCAAGAGGAATACTTGAATCCTGAAAAATTAAAAAACTGATCAATAATACGGCAGACATAAAAAATGATATTTCTCTGTCATAGTTTTTACTCATTTGCACAACTTCTGGTATACCTTATTGTAAGCAAAACAATGCTGTATAACCTCGATACAATGGTATTCGTTTCGTTTGCCACCTCGAGTACCGCCAATTATAGTTCGCAGTTAATGTTTTTCCTTTATATTTTTCAGTACGTTTCCTTTGATGCATCACTCAAACCATTTAAAAAGCCGAAAACTGAAGCTTGACAGAGGAGGCGGTATGACAAGGTTCTACTGGACTCACTTTACCATCAGTATGTCAAGATAACCAAGGACATGTCTGTGCAAAGAACTACAATTCTTCTTGAAGACGCTTCCTGTCATTTTATATCAATTTGATAAATCCCTACCCTCAAAGCTCAACTCTATATAGGGCATGCGTGTTTGGTCCATTAGCAAAGCACATATTTACAGTCCATAACTTGCCTTTAAGTTACGTGGCTATACATAGTCTGATACTATGTAATGATCCGACATTAAACCTACCTGGATATCGTCTGAAATATCATATATGCTCTGTTTTCTATCAACGTATTGTCTGTCAGTTTCTGGTAGGCTTATCTGCAAAACAGACAAACACATCATATATTGCTATGATTAAAGATAGCGAATTGTTAATTTGGCTATATTATATAGATAGTTTCACTTTGGAAATAATAAACAGTGGAAATGTATATCATTTGGGTTGAAGATGAGGGCAAACATTGGTTAAACTCCATGTATATTGTCATATCTGGTGACATTACCCTCTTATTTTGTGCACCTACTTATTTAAATCAACCTTGCGTAAAACAGGTGTTTTAATGCTCAAAATTATGTTAGATTACCTGGTCCGATAAACGTTTGATTTCCATATTGGATTTGAGTTCATCATACAGGGTTTCCAGTTCATGTTTGTCATTGAACAGCTGTATTCGCTGGGTCGACTCCTCATTAGCCCGGATCTGTTCCTTTATCCTCAGTTCTTCAAGCTGTAACGGACAGTATGGTTCGGTATAACCGTTCCACCTAAATTTCCACAACAAGTAGGAATACTGAACACTTTAAGTGTTTGTGTAGAGCGTCCTCGATACTCCAGGGGTTACACTCACTTACGCTCTCTGCACTCTAGAATATTTCATGGCAAAATTTAAGGCTCAGAGTGCGTCACCTTGTTGATGACACAAGAAGACTAGTTTGATCCTTTGATGTACATCAGAAGAATTTTGCGGCCGCGTAACGCTAAAACTTACTGGCTTTGAAGTCGTGTGTCGCTCCTCTGTAATCTTCAAAGGACAGGTATCAGCCTAGTGGTTGGTCAGGTTTTTTTACCTGACAGGCTGACACCAATCAAATAGCTAGCCGCGTGTCTTCAATTTTGCTTTGACATATTCCAGGGCTGCATAGAGCAAAAGTAAGTATAACCTCTCGAGCATCGATGATAGAGTACACAGGTTACACCTTCAATGTCATGTCCCCGACAAGTAGGAATACTGAACATTTTGGGTGTTCATTCATGGAATTATTAAAGCCCAAAAATTGAGTATGTAACAATAGATTACATTACTGAAAATGACTAAGATATTAAATGAAACATACATGATAAAACTATTAGATTCACCTGTTGATATTTGTTCTTTTAAAATTCACTCTACGACTGTTATATATATAAACAAACTTAAGACTGAGTTTTGCTAGCATTTGTGCCAATAACCAATATGAGACATACATTTTTTACTTACAATTTTTTTTTCATTTTCCAACTCCTTTATCCTGTCAAAGTACTCCTCAACTTTCTTTTTACGATCCATGTAAGCTGTGTTGATTTTATTTTTCTCCTTTATTGAAGCTTGAAGTCTTGTCTCAAGCTACGATACAACAACATAAATTCTTGCCATAGAGTCAGACATTTTTTTTTGTAATAGCAACATGCCTCTCAAAATAGTTGTTCTCTGTTTAGATGCATTTGGGGAAAAAAATCTGGTATTTAATTTAAAAACAATGTTTTTACAAAGACTTTTTACTTTCTTTTCAGGACAAATCATGCAAACATGATTCCTAAATTACATTAATGAGGTCCCACTCTTCGCATTTGATCAGCAGAATTCGTTGAATGTTATGCTAAAATGTGCAGATGATTTTACGAAAGTCTAACATTCAGATAAACTGTAATTTTTATAATCATTCCCATATATGTATACCAAAATATCAAAACGTGTTCGTAAGTCTTGTGTTTTTGCATCAATCGTAACTATAACAACATAAACATGTGAATAGGAGCATTGCTCCAGAACCAAACAAACACTTACAATAAAATATTAAACAATAAAGATAATGTTTTTTTTTCTCTGATGAAATTGTTATTCATGTATTTACGTAGACAAAACAATCAGGACACACGATTGCGAGAAAAAGAGGGAAACGAGAAATCCAATATCTATTTCACAACAATTTATTACCAGACGGATCATTTTATAGAGGGATAACTCTTTCATTAAAGGAGTGTTCTCTCTTCAAATATATATTACAAATAGAATTAAGTTAAAATTGTGATCAAAATCTTCTCATCAACGTAATTTTACATCTACGGTGCAACAGAATAAATAAAATAAACTACTACATGTCTTCAGTATTTAGCACTCAAATATTCCTGATAATCCAACTTTACGTTGATCTTCAGTGTCACATATCACTGAAATTAAATTGTGTTCTAATAACATATATATATCAACATTGAAAAACTAGCATTTGTTAGTTAAATTTTTTATTATAAACCTGTCAGTTAGGTATTATAAGAAACTATCTCAAGACATTGTATGCCATCCTCACAAGCGCCCATTCTCATACTTTTTAAAGGGATTTTTCAAAACACTCCTGATTCCAAGAGCTAATGAGCTTGTTTTGCGGAGATTAAACTTGTTTTACGAGGGCTCATTTTCTAGACATAAATAGGAATATAGGAAATAGGAAGCTTGAGTAAGTGAGGAGAAGATGATGTTTCTATTTCCCCACTATATGGTCAAAATCATTCCATCGGACACCCTGTTAGATTAATTTCACCCCTTTGGAAAAGGTCACATATCCACGGTAGGCCGGTAACCAAAACAAATCCACTCCTATACATAGTATATATGACCTTTTTGACATCAATTTGTCCCCTGTCAGTGTCCAATAGTTTTGATATAGGTCCTTGTATCTGAAGGTTATTTCTGTGTGGGTGATCATTGCGGGAAGAAATCGGGTTGTTGACACCTGAAAAAACACCTGTCTTGTACTCTCCTTAGACAGGTAAATACCTATCTTAACAGACTTGTCTTGTACTCTCCTAAGACAGGTAAATACCTATCTTAACAGGCCTTTCTTGTACTCTCCTTAGACAGGTAAATACATATCTTAACAGACCTGTCTTGTACTCTCCTTAGACAGGTTAATACATATCTTAACAGACCTGTCTTGTACTCCCCTTAGACAGGTAAATACCTATCTAAACACAGCTGTCTTGTACTCTCCTAAGACAGGTAAATACCTACCTTAACATATCTGTCTTGTACTCTCCTTAGACAGGTAAATACCTATCTTAACAGACCTGTCTTGTACTCTCCTTAGACAGGTAAATAGCTACCTTAACAAATCTGTCGTGTACTCTCCTTAGACATGTAAGTACCTATCTTAACAGATCTGTCTTGTACTCTCCTTAGACAGGTAAATAGCTATCTTAACAGACCTGTCTTGTACTCTCCTTAGGCAGGTATATACCTACCTTAACAAACCTGTCTTGTACTTTCCTTAGACAGGTAAATACCTGTCTTAACAGACCTGTCTTATACTCTCTTTAGACAGGTAAGTACCTACCTTAACAGACCTGTCTTGTACTCTCATTGGCAGATAAATACCGATCTTAACACACCTGTCTTGTACTTTCCTTAGACAGGTAAGTACCTATCTTAACAGACCTGTCTTGTACTCTCCTAAGACAAGTAAATACCTTCATTGACACACTTGTCTTGTACTCTGCTAATACAGATAAATACTTACCTTAACACACCTGTCTTGTACTCTCCTTAGACAGGTAAATACCTATCTTAGCACACCTGACTTGTACTCTCCTTAAATACCTTCCTCTACAAATCTGTCCAGTAGTCTACTTCGTTGGCAGGTAATAAAACACGCCTGTCCTGTTGTCTCCTTAGACATGTATACTGCCTCAACACAAGTGTCTCATAGTCTCCTTAGACAGATAAATACCTACCTCAACAATAACGTCCTGTAGTCTCGTTTTTTTTATTCGACAGGTGAATACCTACCTCCATACACTTGTCCTGGTAGTCAGAGAGCTGAACCTCCAACCTGTCCATTCGTTCCATAATGTCTTCACAATTCTGTTGGGCCTCGTCTCGTTCCTCCTTCAGGATCTGTTTTTCCACCTCCTGGCGTTCTTGAAGAACCTCGCAGCCCAATGCCGCTGGCATCTACAACAAACCACACACAAGGTTTATGTTAATGTGAGTAAAAGTCACTGTATCATTACAAACTCGGAGAGGACAAATTCTAAAATGCACATCGTATTAGAACGAATACTTCAGTCTTTAAAAACGAAATATTGTATACCGCGAAATATATTCTCCGCAGTCTTTCGTCCTTAGCAATGATGATGAATTGACCATGACACCGAGTTTTATACACAACATACCATGTCTAGTAATTAGATTTGAATGGGCAAATATGGATTTTACCGGTGAAAGGCGAATATTTGACCGAGCAAATGTTTTTCGGTATACAGTATTCTAATGCCTTACCTGAATTAAGCTGATCAATATAATTAATACAACGTTAAGTCTTCAAAACAGCACAGACTGATTTCATAGGATCAGCTTATGTAATGGTCAAACGAGACAACATAATGTCATTTTTTTCTGTGGATTCTATTGAAAATATTTACATGTGTAATATTTTCCTTATTTATGTCTGATCTATATTCAATGCTAGTTCCGTGTTGCCGATTGATTGGTATTTACAACCTGGTGAAATAATGTATACTTAACAATACATATAGGTCTGGTTTAACATTTAAAGCTGACAGTGCAAGTTAAAACAAAAAAGGCAGTGTCTCACAGATATTATACTACTCATAGACCCCTTACAAACGGGAAGCAGATCTTCAGATATATTTCGTTTGTGATTGTACAGACGCCGACCTTCTGACTGCCACTTTATAATGCACTTTATAATCTGCACGGGATCAATGTACACAAAAACGACAGTCAATTGGAAACGTAATGAAATAGATGTTATATTACTTATAACAAGTTGAAAACTCTTGTAAAGCATACACATATCCCAGCTTCAATAGAAATGGGGCAAAATGCAAGTCTAAAAAAAGGTTAATATATCGCTGTAATATTTCTCAATGAAGTCTATGCAATGAGATTGTTGTGTATGGTTTCTCAAGTAACTCTATGAAATGGGATTGTTTTTTAGGGTTTCTCAAGTAACTCTATGAAATGGAATAGTTTTTTCATGGTTCTTAAGGAACTCTATGAAATGGGATAGTTTTAGGGTTTCTCAAGGAACTCTATGAAATTAGATAGTTTCAGGGTTTCTCAATGAATTCTATGAAATGGGATAGTTTTAGGGTTTCTCAATGAACTCTATGAAATTAGATAGTTTCAGGGTTTCTCAAGGAACTCTATGAAATTGGATAGTTTTTAGGGTTTCTCATGGAACTCTAAGAAATTGAATAGTTTTTATTCATGGTTTCTCTAAGAACTATGAAATAGGATAGGTTTTAGGGTTTTTCAAAGAACTCTATGAAATGGAATATTTTTGTATGGTTTCTCGAGAGCCTGTTTGAATAGTATTTTTAGGTAAAAGTGAGACATTGAACAGAGGTGAGTTTGAGCATGGAACTTTTCGACATGGAATAGTGTTGTTTTTTTGGGCGGCTCTCTGAGGTATCGATTAGAGGTTTCATCTATATTGGCGACAACAGGCAGACAGGACATTGGTCGGTATGGAATAGTTCTAATCAATATTTATTACCTTGGCTGTCGTGGCTTGTAAACACCTGTCAGTTTCATCTGTAACACAAATCACTGAAAATTGATATCTTATAAAATCGTATATAACAGAATTTCTGTTTTCTCTATTTTCCTTGTTCATTCCCCAACCCGTACTCTACTTCCTTCTTATTTAAAACCTATACAAATACACACTCTTGTTAGATCATCATTTGTCTTGAATTAAACCTACAAATCATCTTCATTAAATATGTTATATTTCAGTTCCTGTTAAATTCAACCTAGAAAACCTTAGGAAAAACTTTACAGAATAAGTAAATTCAGTATCACTTTTGTGTCACTTATCGCACCAACTAATTGATTAAGGAGTATATTGATAAACGGAAATAGGAAGTACATCCCTAGTTGAAAATCCAATGTAGGGAGACAGTATCACAATTTCCGCATATTCTAATGTTTAATATTTAATTAATGAATATTGTATGTTTATTATTCGTTCTCTCAATATTAAAGTATTTCAAAGCAATCCAGGCATTAATTCAATTGTTTTTTATCAGTCACATGTGTCCATTTTTCTGTACTTCAGGAAACCGGCTACCTATTTCACTACTGTGAAGTTTTTCTAGAAAGACATTTTTTTTTGGACATTTAACGCGAATCATGACAAATATGTCCAGAATGCCAATGTTGTTATGACCTCATGAATGTTGATAAAATAAATTTCATTCCTCATATTTACATTTTTAAGTGCTTTGAATTTTCCGATCGAGCATAAATAAAAATAATACCGGCATTGTAATTAAATTTGTGTATGGGGGCAACGCAGGAGAGAGAACAGAGTGGTTTCGCGGGAAAATGTAAAACTTCGGGTTGGGGTTCTACCAAAAGTATGACAACAAAACAAACAGAATATAGGTCTAGTTGTATTTTCAAATTTTATATGTAAAACTAACTCAGCTTGGATATTGTTATCATATACCATACACACCTCATTTGAGAATCAAAATGAGCCTATCACATTTAATGTTAATCATATTAGCATAAATAAACTACACAATAGCTGTTTCACGGCGGACGTGTACCAATTACGCCCTGTGCTACGTCATTAAAGTGTATCAATACGCAGTGATGAGGTCACCTGTGTTATGCAAAAATGAATGTCATTTTCGCCAATGGGTCCAAGCATACAGAATGTAAATATTATAAAATGTTAATTTTTAATCGATTATAGATAATTAATTTTACACAATTTCAGCATTTATTAAATTGATATACATTAATACAATACTAATTTATGTAATTATCATTTTTATTGACATTATTTTGCCAAAAAATTTGTCTTTAATTTTTTTCTTCAAAATTCACTCCTTTTTACATAAATTTCCATTTAAAATCCTTAAAATTCTGACAACCTATATTTTTTTTGTGGGAGAACATTTTCTTCAAAGCAATATAACAACAAAAATTTGAAGAAATTATATTGAGAAATGGTAACACAATCCTATTACCTTAAGTAGTCCGCATTATCTCTTTAAGGTATACCCACCCAGAGTACAGGTAAAAAGAAGGCGTCGGGCCGTATTATCTCTGTAAAGTAAACCCACCATGAGTACAGGTAAAAAGAAGGCGTCGGTTCCTATTAACTCTGTAAGGCATTTACCCCAAGTCTAAGTAAAATAAGGACAGTGGGCGTCCATCAGTAATATCTATATGTGAGGCATACCCACACTGACTACAGACTACTGAATGTGTGCGTCCTAAATATCGGTGTAAGGTATACCCACACAAAGTACAGTAAGGAAGGACAGGGGATGGCCGTAAGTTAAATCTTTGTGAGGTATATCCAACCTGAGTACAGTTATTCCTGTATGGTATACCCACTATACGTACTGTAAGGTGAGTTAGCGTCCGTCATTAATATCTCTCTACGGTATACCCAACCAGACCACGGTTAGGACAGCGGACATCCATAAGTAAAATATTTGTAAGGTATACCCACCCTGGCTACAGTTAGGACAGAGGGCGTCCGATAGAGCTCCTTTTAGCTCTATTATTTCTCTCTCCCGCTGGTCAAGCTTGTACTGACAGTTTCTCCACTTCTCTCGGTAGTCCTCTCGCTCCTTCGTGTACTCTAAACTGTTCTTCAGGTATTCCACTACAAACAGGACACAGGACACGATCAGGTCATAGGTCACATCAAACACACACGATCAGGTCATAGGTCGCATCAAACACACAGGATCAGGTCATAGGTCATATCAAACACAAAAAGAGGACACATGACATATCAAACACACACGATCAGGTCATAGGTCACATCAAACAAAACAAAAAACATAATATAGGTCACATTACACACCCGAACAGGTCACGGGCCACATAAAAAACAACAAGATCATATGAAAGTGTCGACAATACCATAAATCGATAAAAAGGAAAGATTAACATGGAGACCCTTGAAATAGTACATGGAATTTAAGACCAGGTGTTCCGAAAGGTTAAGCGTGTTCTTCATCGACGACACCCGCAATGTAAATCCAAGTCGAATCCAAGCATAATCAAGCAATATAAATACAACATAAAGTTCCGGGTTCATTTTTAATTTGAATAAGGTCCCGGGGCCATTTTTACGACGGAATATATGAAGGTTCTCAGACCATTTTAAACGTTAAAATACGTACCCCAGAACATTAGGTCGTCTTTATATTTTCAATTCATTATTTTTTTTTGTCTCCTTTCACAATGTCCTATGATTAACAGACTAACAAGCATGTGTTTGAATTAAATGTTTCATATACAGCTAGAATAAAACATTGCTTATATTTTATCTGTCTAAATATATCAACGAGTTTCCACATCAACTTAGTTGCTATATGACAATAAAAATGAAAATATAAGTTATTTAAAATATAAGTTGACCAATTAAAAACATTTAAGACTTCTGTGATTTGACGTAAACAAATGATGACAAATCGGTATTTAATCAATACTGCCTGCATGTATTATGCATTTCATAATGTATTATTAACAGACCAGTGATACATTTGTGACAATTGAATATTGAAAGGTGTCATGATATTTGGGGACAAAATTCAACGGAGATTATTAATTCGCAGCCATTATGACATTTTTATATCAGTTTAATAAGGAAAGGTGACATAGAGTTCAGTTTGAGCTTGTAGGTATATGTGCTAACAAACAGTGAGGGCTAAGGTGTGAAGATGTACTGAACATTAGGAGGAAACGACTGTGAAGGAAAGCTCCTGCCGTGTCAGCTATTATTTAGTGTTGTTCGTGGTTCGTCCTGTTTGAGTATTTATCACCAATGGGGTCCTGGTACTACGGATACAGAAACTTGTGTGTCAAACTAATTGAACCTGTTTTTGTGAACGCTTCCTTCTCTGCAATACTTGAGAGTTCCGATCAGATTTATATGTAAATTAGTGAAGTTTTTGCAGCTTTAAAGCGCAGATCTGTTAACACATCCTGCTTTTCAATAAACACTTAGGACCTGTCAAAACAAGATAGGTCTACCATTGCCGTTTGTCTCCTACTTACCGGACACTTATTGAGTCAGCTACTGTGTATTATTTTTCAGTTTCTAAAAAAAACATTATTTCCTACTACGAGTTCAAACAGATAATTATAGGGCAGTCTGATAACAGGGCACCCTAAAGCATACACACATAAATGGGATGTAAATAAACAAAGTACATGGGATGTAAATACACAACAGTACATGGGATGTAAATACACAACAGTACATGGGATGTAAAGATACATTTAAACGTGCAATTATTGCATATAATATTGCCACGATTTGTGGTTGTAAAAGTCTTCACATCTGTGACCTTGGCATGTTCGTGTCCCCTACACAACCCCGACATTGTTTAGACACCTACTTGACGCATCCTTTAGCTTGCTGTTTTCCTCTACGATGCTGCTACAGTTCCTCTCTAGTGCCTGAAGTCGGTGGGTAAGGGACTGGTTCTCCAGCCTCAGTATCTCGGTTTCATTCTAATTGCAAACAAGGTTTGTGAATCTTAATAACAGGTTTCGACGATTTTCGGAAATATTTTAATACCGGAAATTTGTAACAGAAATCACTTGATTTTGGCAAATGATTATTTGTGATTGTTCAATCAAAGACTAATTAACAGCGATTCTATATGAAAAGAGCAAACACAACAAAAAAGGGAAGGAACGAAAAGCCAAACAAAGCAAAAACAAAAACAAACACAAACAAGAGGCCCAATAGGCCTGAATCGCTCACCTGGTATAAATTTCACACTTGTTATCTTAAAAGTGGACTAAAATACAACTACAGGCAGAATATCAGTGTTTGATTAATAAGAACCATTTAAAAGATTTAAACGTATGACACACGTGACCTTGAATGTCGAACAAGGACATTAGGTTGAACAGAGTTTATAGTCTTCCAACCCAGCATGCTTCTAGTAAAATATCATTACCCTGGACTTTTTGGTTATACAGAACAAATAATTTAAAGATTTAAACCGTAGGCCTCTTGGTTATTCAGAAGTTGTTTAAATGTTTTTAACATATTTGACCCTGGTGACCTTGAATATGATTCAAGGTCATTCATTAGAACAAACTTGGTAGCCCTTCATCCCAGCATGTTACTGGCCAAATATCATTATCCTAGGCCTCTTCGTTATTCAGAAGAAGTTGTTTAAAGGTTTTAAACATATTTGACCCCTGTGACCTTTAATATAGGTCAAGGTCATTTATTTGAACAAACTTAGCAGCCCTTCATCCCAGCATGTTACTGGCCAAATATCATCACCCTAGGCCTCTCGGTTATTCAGAAGAAGTTGTTTAAAGGTTTTAAACATATTTGGCCCCTGTGACCTTTAATATAGGTCAAGGTCATTTATTTGATCAAACTTAGCAGCCCTTCATCCCAGCATGTTACTGGCCAACTATCATCACCCTAGGCCTCTCGGTTATTCAGAAGAAGTTGTTTAAAGGTTTTAAACATATTTGATCCCTGTGACCTTGAATATAATTCAAGGTCATTTATTTGAACAAACTTGGTAGCCATTCACCAAAGCATGTTACTGGCCAAATAACATCACCCTAGACCTTTTGGTTATTCATAAGAAGTTGTTTAAAGATTTTAACATATTTGACCCATGTGACCTTGAAAATGGATGAAGGTCATTTATTTGAACAAAATCGGTAGCCCTTCTTCCCAGCATGCTTCTGGCCAAATATTATCACCCTAGGGCTTTTGGTTACTGAGAAGAAGTTGTTTAAAGTAAAATGTTGACGCCGGACGACGGACGGACGACGGACGCCGCACCATGCCATAAGCTCACTTAAGCTAAAAAAAACACAGACCAAATCAAAACAAACAAGCACTATTGATTATCTGCACAATCCAGACAGAAACGTCTAAATTATAGGAGTGAAAGAAAAGAGAGTTTAATTAATGTTTTCAACTGATATTATTGTTTATTACCTCAAGTTCCTTTTTATCATTCTGAGCGAACAAAAGACCAGTCTCCAGATCCTCTAGCTTCTGTTTCATAGCCGCGTTTCCCTGTGCTTGATCCTGTAGAGTCCTGATCGTCTCAGACAGGTTATTTACCAAGTTCATGTTACAACTGAATCGTGTCACCTTAAAGTCTGCAAATATAAATCACACAAATCATTCTTTAATACATTATTTCACTAGTAAAGTGGGACATGCTCTGTGTGTGAGAACGAGCATGCATGATGTTTCTGTAATGAACCACTTACCTAAGGGAGGCTCACTAGGCTTTTTCTGTAATGAACCACTTACCTAAGGGAGGCTCTCTAGGATGTTTCTGTAATGAACCATTTACCTAAGGGGGGCTCTATAGGATGTTTCTGTAATGAACCATTTACTTAAGGGAGACTCTCTAGGATGTTTCTGTAATGAACCACTTACCTAAGGGAGGCTCTCTTGGATGTTTCTGTAATGAACCACTTACCTAAGGGAGGCTCTCTAGGATGCTTCTGTAATGAACCACTTACCTAATGGAGGCTCTCTATGATGTTCCTGAAGTGAACCGCTTACCTACGGGAGGCTCTCAATGATGTTCCTGTAATGAGCCACTTACCTAAGGGAGGCTCTCTAGGATGTTCCTGAAGTGAACCGCTTACCTAAGGGAGGCTCTCTAGGATGTTTCTGTAGTGAACCACTTACCTAAGGCAGGCTCTCAATGCTGTTCCTGTAATGAACCACTTACCTAAGGGAGGCTCTCTATAATGTTCCTGTAGTGAACCGCTTACCTAAGGGAGGCTCTCTAGGATGTTTCTGTAGTGAACCACTTACCTAAGGGAGGCTCTCTATAATGTTCCTGAAGTGAACCGCTTACCTAAGGGAGGCTCTCTAGGATTTTCCCCCGTGATAGCCTTGTACGTTTCTGGGTTGTGATACTCCATCGTGTCGAGGAAATGCTGACAACCATTGTTTCCCTTTGTTTGCAGTATATCAAGCATGAAACCTTAAACAGCAAATCAGCAACAGATATTAAGTACTTCAGTGTGGGACGACAACATGGTAATTTTGTAGAAGTTAGTAGTGCGATCTCCTTTATGATTCCAACTTGAGGGAGTACTATAACAGAGACTGATATTTTAGTTTGCTTTACGTTGTAACCCCCTTACTGGTGTTCTAGCTCACTGGTTTAATGGTCTCAAGCGGAGGATACCTATTCTAGTTGGGGACGGCCAAGGATAATAAAAGTGATGTTTGTAGCTTCGAGGGAACATCCCCACATGTGCCAACAACGAGTAATATGTTTGCTTTCATATAGATGTGCAAGTTCCAGGACAAATCTAGGACCAGAGTAAACCTTCTATTTATTATTTGCTCTCTGGAACCTTTGAACCGTTTACGGAATAGTCGCTTGGTACGGTGTTGCGTCACTTTGACATAACAAAGCATTTTCTCCGAGTTAAAATGCATGAGACAGCCTTCCTCCCTTTTTGATGGTTTATGAGGTCTGAATGAAGGGCCTTGTTATTCTCTGTAGATTTGATAATTTTATAAAGCAGACAAACGACTGCGAATAGCCACCCGCTAGAGGTCACTACCCCTTTGAGGTAGTTAGGAAATTTGAAAAAGAGCAGCAGGAACAGCCTAAGAAGTTGAGTCTTCAGAAAACCATTCTGGTTTTTTTCACATATTCCATTAGAGCGGGGAGTTTGTTATACTGTTAAATAGTTTATACAGCAGGCGTTGATGAGGAACTCTATCGGCAGGTATAAGATATTTATTTTGCAAATATTGTCTGCCGTGTTGTATTAAATAGACCAGAACAGCTGTGGGCCGAGGAATTATACAGTCAATGGCGGGGGAAATTACAGGAAACAATGAAGAACCGCTTATTCTTGGGGGGTGAGCAGGAAAGGCGAAAGGTGCAAGTTTAGTTAGGTTAACAAAGTCATCTATTATAAAAACACTATTTATATCATAAATAGTTAATGGAAACAGTTCTTAATGTGCAGTTTTTAAATAGGGCCGGAAAATATTAATTACAACCTTCTTAAAGTTTTCTATGCGTCGTCTTGTAGTTGTATTCAATGTATTCTAATTATGTCAACCCACTTGTTTGATCCGGATGTTTCCATGCCTCGTGCTACTCTAAAGTTTGAGCTATTTCCGTGTTACCGAGTAGTGAATATAATTAACTGTTGTTGCTCCTATTCTCATCAACTGCAAATTAATTAATGTAAACATTCAAAACGTTTTCAGTTTGCTTATTTAATGTTGGCAAATGGGTACCATTAATATTTGATATAAGTATCATATATATATATATATGGTGTTACTCTAATGTCAATATATCATATATGAATGATGTCATTGTGCCATTATTATTTGATACATTAGTGTGCCATTGATATTTGATACATTGGTGTGCCGTAAATATTTGATACATTAGTGTGCCATTAATATTTGATACATTAGTGTGCCATTAATATTTGATGCATTAGTGTGCAATTGATATTTGATGCATTAGTGTGTCATTAATATTTGATACATTAGTGTGCCATTAATATTTGATCATTAGTGTCCGATTGATATTTGATACATTAGTGTGCCATTAATATTTGATGCATTAGTGTGTCATTAATATTTGAAACATTAGTGTGCCATTAATATTTAATGCATTTCTGTGCCATTGATATTTGATACGTAAGTGTGCTATTAATATTTGGTACATTAGTGTGTCGTTGATATTTGATACATAAGTGTGTCATTAATATTTGATACACTAGTGTGTCATTAATATTTGATTCATTAGTGTGCCACTGATATTTGATACGTTGGTGTGCCAAGTAATAACTGATTCATTAGTGTACCATTATGTGATACATAAGTATGCTATTGATATTTGATATACGTGTGCCATTAATATTTGATACATTAGTGTGCCATTGATATTTGATGCACTAGTGTGTCATTAATATTTAATACATTAGTGTGCCATTAATATTTGATGCATTAGTGTGTCATTAATATTTGATACATTAGTGTGCCATTAATATTTGATGCATTTCTGTGCCATTGATATTTGATACGTAAGTGTGCTATTAATATTTGATACATTAGTGTGCCGTTGATATTTGATACATAAGTGTGTCATTAATATTTGATACACTAGTGTGTCATTAATATTTGATTCATTAGTGTGCCACTGATATTTGATACGTTGGTGTGCAAGTAATAACTGATTCATTAGTGTACCATTAATATTTGATACATAAGTATGCTATTGATATTTGATATACGTGTGCCATTAATATTTGATACATTAGTGTGCCATTGATATTTGATACATTAGTGTGCCGTTGATCTTTCCCCTCTTTCACTTACCCGCTCTTGTCCGTCTCGTGTGGTATTTGTTCATGATTAACTCCGTATCATCCGAAGTAAGCACGCGCAGCTCTCTCAGCCGGTCGAAGTATTCCCGGGGGTCTATACCATTGACAATGGTATAGCGGTTAGGCTCTATATATATCTCGTACAGGTCCCCCGGGGTAAGGGGGTCCGGTTGGACACTAGGGTCCGTCATGGCTGTGTGTTTTATGATCAGCAAGGTTCGACAGGCTGATGCAAATTGCGGCCTGAAACAAACACGATATAACGAAGCCACTTCAAGTACATGTGCGAGTGTTTTTTAGACTCTAACTATAATCAAATAGTTCCCTAAAGGTGTGCGATTGGCTATACCACGGACTTAGATAACATCTAATCTAATTCCGTGGCTATACAAATGTACCGTGTCCGGGTCCGTACATCTTATCCTAGCTGAACCTGGTACGCTGTTATAATTTAGCTACGTACACATAATGATGATAGCATTTTAACACAGCAGACTTTTTACTTAATTTCCTTGCTTAAAAGTTCTATTTGACATGTCTACACGCAGGACAAATCTAATTGGAATCTGTTAGAAATCACATGTGTTAATGAAGCTAATCTAGTTAATAAATGTATATTAGGGGACGTTTTCTTTGTTAACCTCTGACGTACCGCTGTCCGATTTGTGGTAGATTTAATACTTCTCGGATAAACGTTATGTTTAGTTCGCTAGTTAAGGTATTACATACTTTATAGAGAGAAACACCTGGGGATCGATCGGATCTCCTTATATTTCAGTTTAATATCTGTTCCATTCTAAATATAACAAAGCAGCTTTCCCCGATCACAGCACGTCACAATAAAGGTCGAATGTCCAAAATGTGGATGTCAGGTGACAGGTGATTCAAGTAGTCGGAAGTATGTTTCCTGTATAAAAGAGTACGGAAACATGGTGTACCGTCCGCACGTGGGAAGGGGAACAATTCTATAAATAAACGACGACCTCCGCAGTCGTGACAAATTCTGACATTATATAAACAAGTCTTAAACTTCCATTATTGTGTGTGTTTTTTAACTACGATGCCTGGAACTTTCATGCGCTTTGACCGTATTGAAAAAATAACACCGAGAGCGACGATGTATCCTGATCTTAACTTTTGTGTTACGACTAATCAATTGAAATTCACTTTACCAAGTATGTGAAATAATGGTATACCATATCCGTGGGGGAGACATAGTCAGTAATACTATGTTTGTTTAAGTGAAACTTCTCAGTTCTCCACGATTACGGAAGATTCTACAACTTCAAGTCAAGCATTGGATTTTAGCCTATTGTTCCTTCCTCCTCACCAGCAATACGACCCCGGGATGAAAGGCGTGTTGTATTGTTATCTTTATACCGGCAAGTCACTGACTTTTCACGTAGACGCCATTTACATAGAGATGGGTATATACTATTCACTTAATCCATCTGTGTGGTCATCGTCCACCGCAATGTCCGGACCATACCTTCTTCTACAATTGTAGGATATGTTGGTGACCAGACTGTGTCACCTAACACTCTCATGTCCATAGCCTGAAGGTCAATGTCAGGGTAAGGGGTCAAATGCCAAATGCTTGTACTTGTATATATAATATTTTCTAAACGACAGATTCTTTTTCTCATTTAACCTAGCATGATTGTACTCATAGCATCAAGGTCATGACAAGGATCAAAGGTCAAACCATTCTTATCATTTTCCGGTCTACAAACTGCGTGACTGCTTTCTGAAATCTCCTAAAGGAGGAAATAAAGAATGTCTGTCTGTCTGTATGACTGTCTGCCATAACCTCTGATGGCTTACACACTATATATCTTATAAAATGTGTCATACAAATGTCTATCATCAATATACGGGAATGTTGCATATCAGTTAGATCAAGGTCACGGTAAAACAATAAATTATTGTAATGCCTATCCAAACCATGTTTTATCATCGGCTTAAGATTTTCTCATAAATCTTTACCTCCCGGGTTGGCAGACTTTCCATTTGTACGTTTTAATTTCAGCCACCTAGGAATGCTTCCAGTCAAATCTGGTTAAATTCCAGACTGTGGTTAAGAAGAAATCACGTGAAGAAACTGTTCACGGACGGACGACGGACCAGGTGAGCTAAACATCGATACAAATATAAAACAAATATAACAAAATACTGTATTACATACTGACCTTATAATTAGTCCCGACAGGCAATCTGATCCGTAGATCAGCTCTACCCTTTCTCTGTCGCTTGGCTTTAAACTTCGACGTTCTTCATCAAAATACTAACATCTTGGTGCTCGCGTATTTCGGATCCCACTACATGTCAACTTTGTTGTATAGCTTAGTTCCCCAGTGTGTAAGTACTGTAGTGACAATTTTACCCTCTGATGATCAAGTCTGTAGTCCATTTGTTAGTCTAAGTCATAATTAACAAACTGACCTTTTTACACATAGAGTATTAAAGCTTTACAAGCATCTTTTATAAAGAGTTTAAATTCTCCTTTGATCGGTATGTAACGTTGTTAGCCAGCTAGGTTGCCGTCTCCTGCAGCTAGTTCGTTGCTTCCTATGCTTGTAGTTTTAGTTAGCTACTTCCGCCGCAGTGTGAAAAGCTAAGTTGTCGTTTCATCAATACGTAGCTAGGCTAAGTTGTGTTTCAATGGTGAAACTAACACAAGCTAAGCTGATCCTTGCTAGGGTTGATTCAAGTAGCCGGAAGAATGTTTCCTGTATAAAAGAGTACGGAAACATGGTGTACCGTCCGCACGTGGGAAGGGGAACAATTCTATAAATAAACGACGACCTCCGCAGTCGTGACAAGACCAGGAAGTATATATGTTTCTATGGAACGCCAGAGCTATCTTATATATGGTACACGCTCGTTATATGATTTGCTTTTGTCATCATATCATCATATAATGACAAAACATATAAGATAGCTCTGGCGTTCCATATGTTTCGGACACATTCTAACTTAATATGAGTGTGTGAATAAGGTCAAAAACGTAGCACTATATTGTTACGAGTCTGCAGATAAACATCCTCATTCCTTGTATGAACCGTATTAGGTAACATTAAAGCTAAGGCTTCTAAAAAAGCGTTCCACATTCAGCAGCAACAGATTTTTTATATCAATTATATTGATGACGTCAAAAGTGAACAAACAAAAATACTATCGCTATTTTCTTCTTTTACTTCCGTAAAAAAATATTTACTCCGACCACAATATATAAGCATCTACTCAAAACGCCTGGCTGTCGTAGATTTCTCTAACGCTACTCTTTTCACTTCCATGCTTTCCCTCTGACGCTACTCTTCTCACTTCCATGCTTTCCCTCTGACGCTACTCTTCTCACTTCCATGCTTTCCCTCTGACGCTACTCTTCTCACTTCCGTGCTTTCCCTCTGACGCTAAGATCTATTCTCACTGTTATGAGTTCTCTTAACCTACTACTCTCACTACCATGATTTTTCTGACGCTACTATTCTCACTACCACGAATTGTCTGACGCTACTATTCTCACTACCACGAATTGTCTAATGCTACTATTCCCACTACCACGAATTGTCCGACGCTACTATTCTCACTACCACGAGTTTTCTGACGCTACTATTCTCACTACCACGAATTGTCTGACGCTACTATTCTCAATACCACGAATTGTTTAACGCTACTATTCCCACTACCACGAATTGTCTGACGCTACTATTCTCACTACCACGAATTGTCTGACGCTACTATTCTCACTACCACGAATTGTCTGACGCTACTATTCTCACTATCGGATATGAAGCATACTAACAATAAAGTTATATTAACATCTCCGCAGTCCCTTTATCAAAGGCTGATAAACGCAATATTTTGACTCCATAATGTGAGGTCATCGTAAGAAGCAAAGATTTATAAAGCATTAGTATTTTAAAGCTGTTACAAGATTATTGGTAACACTGACGATACAAATACTTCATATATAGGTTACACTTGTATCTAGGTCACTATAATCATATATAGGTTACACTTGTATCTAGGTCACTATAATCATATATAGGTTACACTTGTATCTAGGTCACTATAATCATATATAGGTTACACTTGTATCTAGGTCACTATAATCATATATAGGTTACACTTGTATCTAGGTCACTATAATCATATATAGGTTACACTTGTATCTAGGTCACTATAATCATATATAGGTTACACTTGTATCTAGGTCACTATAATCATATATAGGTTACACTTGTATCTAGGTCACTATAATCATATATAGGTTACACTTGTATCTAGGTCACTATAATCATATATAGGTTACACTTGTATCTAGGTCACTATAATCATATATAGGTTACACTTGTATCTAGGTCACTATAATCATATATAGGTTACACTTGTATCTAGGTCACTATAATCATATATAGGTTACATTTGTATCTAGGTCACTATAATCATATATAGGTTACACTTGTATCTAGGTCACTATAATCATATTTTAAAGACCTGTTTATGTGAGAGTCAACTACTCCCTATGATACATGTATGATATCGACCGACTCCCTATCATCACTGTGTGTTAACGAGTCACAATACCGGATATTGCTACCAGGCAGGCGGTGATCCCACTTCGTGGGCTTCTGTTGCAGGTGAATGTTTTTTTATATGTTCTTGGGGCTTTTTGGATCAGTTCCTCACATATTCAGCAATGGCTTAAACCATAGAGAACATTCCTATATTGGTCAATATTTCTTCTAGACTTGCAAACACGCTGTCTTGTCTCGGCGAAAACTCACAAGTGATACTTATCACGTGTCTGAATTAATATTTGTAGCGATTTTTTTCGAACAAATTTAACTACCTTTAACAATGTGGGGAGGGAAGTCCTACAACTGTTAATTCAGACACGTAATAGTTGTCACTTGTAAATTTTAGCCGATACCAGACGACGTTTTTGTAAGTTTGGAAAAAATATTGACCCATATATGAACGTTTTCAATGGTTTAAGAAAACGCTGAAAATGTGAGGTATTGATCCAAAAAGCCTCAAGCACATGACAGTCTCTGAAGTTAGGAAAATACATAAAAAAAAACTCACCTTCAACTGCAGTCAACCTCGTGTGATCACCACCTGTCTGATAACAATATCCGGTGTCGTTAACACATAGTGCACGTACTCGATCATGTTAAAGCACGAACTTAAAAAGCAATCTAATTCTGCGATTAAAGTGAATTTACATACTTGGACCTTAATCATGTTTTCCTTTTTTCTTTCACAGACATGTTATTTAAAAAATGAAGAAAAAACAAAGTATTGAAAGAGTAACAGTCTATACAGTATATGCTAAATTATAGTTGGTCCGATTGGAAATATATTTAGGAGGCTTTAGCATCACACGTTGTGACTTGTCAGGATTATTCCCTGTAAGGATCCCCTTGCCACTGCCAGATATTATTTCCTGAAAAGATCCCCTTGCCACTGCCAGAGATTATTCCCTGTAAGGATCCTCTTGCCACTGCCAGAGATTATTTCCTGTAAGGATCCCCTTGCCACTGTCAGAGATTATTTCCTGTAAGGATCCACCTGCCACTGTCAGAGATTATTTCCTGTAAATAGTCCCTTGCCACTGCCAGAGATTATTTCCTGTAAGGATCCACCTGCCACTGTCAGAGATTATTTCCTGTAAATAGTCCCTTGCCACTGCCAGAGATTATTCCCTGTAAGGATCCCCTTGCCACTGCCAGAGATTATTTCCTGTAAGGATACCCTTGTCACTGCCAGAGATTATTTCCTGTAAGGATCCCCTTGCCACTGTCAGAGATTATTTCCTGTAAGGATCCCCTTGCCACTGTCAGAGATTATTTCCTGTAAGGATCCCCCATGCCACTGTCAGAGATTATTTCATGTAAGGATCCCCTTGCCACTGTCAGAGATGATTCCCTGTAAGGATCCCCTAGCCACTGTCACAGTGTTCTGAGATTAAAAATACAACATAGCCAGAGCAGGATTCGAACCACGGACCTCATATGTAGCTCCCGGCCTAGTCGCGTAATAGTTAAGGATGTACTCTTCTGAGGTTTCAGTCACGTTCAAGTCTCGTTTTGATCTGGTGTAACGGGTTTTTGTAATATTTAACAAATTATGATAGGTTTAATAGCAAACACACATCTGAAAAACATGTCAAAAAACTAGATGTCTGTTGTGTGTAGAACATTTTTTACAAGAATTTGAAAAAAAATACCATTTCGCGCACATTTTGAAAAAGTGTATTTATGTGAATTCTTTGCGTTTCACAAAAGGCTAAAATTTCACATTTGTTGACACTAGATTGATCACTTAAATTGTCATTGTGTCACCATTTTTGATTGTAGCAGGTTCAATTTTGCTGTACAACGTTATAGTGTTCCATATGATTAAAATAATATGCAAAAAAGTTGAAAGTTATATATTATTGGTAATTTTGTTTACATATTAGGGTAACTGAAGCAATTTTGATTTTTGAACCCGAAAAAGGTGAAAAATAACACAAATAATAATGGGACAAAAAAAGAAGCACACTGACCCCCCATTTCTGTGGCTGTTTTAGAAAGAGAAACACATTTTCTTTTGATTCATTGAATACTAAAAAAAGCTTAATACAGGAATTTTATATATCAAGCGTTTAATCTGCAAAAAAATGGCCCGGCCTAGTCGCGTAATAGTTAAGGATGTACTCTTTGCATTTTCTACTATGCCATTATCTCCTTTTTCCTAAATCAATATAAGAAAAAAAGGTTAATACGGGATTTTTTTGACTTCTCAGGTGTACATCCTTAATGTAGCTAGCGGCAGGTAGGGTAGGAGTAAGGAGTAAGGGATTGGGGTAACTAAAATCGTCTTTCTGAGTAAAATGAATAAGATTAAGAAACTTTAATTAACTTGGAGAAGAAATTGTATGAATTTGTTCTGCAAATGGTCAAAACCCAAAAATTCACCTAAAATCACATATTGTGTTAAATTGGTATCTTTGACCGATCATAGCACAAAAACGAACACACGCACATATGTTTTTTTTGGATTTTCTTCTATGCCATTATCTCATTTTTCCTAAATCCATATAAGAAAAAAAAGTTTAATACAGGAATTTTTGGACTTCTCAGGTGTACATCCTTAATGTAGCTAGCGGCAGGTAGGGTAGGACATAACGAGGCTTTAGACCTTTAGCTTTAAGTTCGGCATTCACTGTCGGATGCCGACGGTATCCCGATAACACGGTTATTCTAAATTGTATTCTTAATACTTTCTTTTATTTATTTTTTATTATTTATTTTAGTCATGTACTGACTCACTTCGAAATATAATTCAAGTCTGGGAACCAGACTAACATTTTTAACATCAACTACATTATTTCAAATTTTGTCAACCCATGTTTATGATTATTATCATTTATTCAAAAATTGTTTTATTTAAACAAAAAGATAGGCAGCCTTGTCAATAGAGGTGAAAATAGTCCGTTTCGCATACGATCGACAACTTACTTAGGTCTCTTTCGGCTGAACAACCGGAAGCTTCTCGGAGTTATGTCCCTTCTTAGTAAGGTAAACTTCCGTAAAAGAAACACGTGGACTGCGAGCTACTGCTGTGTATTGACTCTATCAGGATTTCGATCTGATTTTCGGTCTGTTTGAGCTGATATGTTAATTGGTATCGTTTTTTTATATCGATACAGTTTATCTATATTTCGTTATCCCGTAAGCTCGATGGAATTGGCTGATTAGAAATTAATGCATGTTTACGATGTTCAATTTTTAGTAGTTTTCAGTTTTTGAGTCGTGTTGACATTGGTTATACTTTGGAAGCACTATTTTGCAGCTTATGTAAAACTAGAAAACACGTCTCTGCTGGCCGCAGTAGATACAATGTTCACGTCACTTATGATATTGCATTCAGTCATTCACACAAGTAAGATATGAATAGCAGTATACAGATGTCACGGTGTATCAAGGCTTAGGAATTCTAGTCGTTTCGGTACTGAAGACTAGGATGTTTTTGGTATTTTTTGTGAAGACGAAAAAAGCTGAAATAAATAAAGACAAATGTTTTACATGTATAATCTCCCCTGAAGATATCCAATAGCAATTTAGAATAATTATCACAGGAAGTACGAATTGTACAATATGTATCTATAAATAATGTCATCTGACTACCATCTCAATGCTAGGCTATTGTATCACTGTTTCTCACAAACTGTAGGAACAGTTATTAGCTTAGGGCAGATGTACAAAAAGAAAATTTTGGTTAACAGAAATTACAGCACTCAGGCCTGGCTTATAATGTGCATGTACTTCAAACAGAAATAGTTAGGCTAAGGTGGACAGAAACTACTAGCCCTCCGCATTAAAGTCACATTGGTCTCTGTGGAATATAACATATAGATAGATAGATAGAAATAAACAGAAATTATAGTACTTGGACCTAGATGAAGTATAAAATAGAACATTATCCGCATGTGTAGAGGAACTATGCCAGGTAGTCTGAATTATTCTGACGTTTTATCGACTTTTTGTTTATAGGTCTGTCGTCGATTAATGTCAGAACTCCAGCCCTCTATAATATGTGGGAAATAATCGACCCGTGCCTGGGTCGCTCTTCAAACTGATATTTTAGAAAAATCTTTCGATCCATGTACGACATATGTGTGAAAGTGACGATTTGTTTCTAAAATATCAGTTTGAAGAGTGACCCAGGTGCGGGTCGCTTATTTCCCGCATATTATAAGAGGCCGGAGTTCTGACGTTAATCAACGACAGACCGATATAAAAAAAAGTTGATAAAATGTCAGAATAATTCGGACTGTACGCCAAGATGCATGTACATGGTTAAAGTGTCTGTCTGTAGTTTGGCGGTGGTTTTGAATCTGTCTTGCTAATGAAATTACAACTGGTCACTATTCACTCGTTTGTAATACATTTTATCTTTTTTGACGAGCTTCAAGTTTATAGTTCAAAATATAGCAAGAATAAGCTTTCAAATAGAGCATTCTAACTTGAACTTTCCTTTTTCAATTGTACCAGTGTGAAATAACATATTGGAAGTGTCAACTATTGTATGTTTATTTTAATCATGAAAAATAGTAGCTAGTTTCAAGAAAGGTAAATCAATAGAAACTGTCATACAAGTATATGTATGTGAATATGAAAATCAACGCATGAATTTTGCTGTTAATGTTACATTTCTTTTATACATTATAGAGCCTGGGAATTTTATGTAAATACATCTAATATGGAAAAACAAAAGAAGAAAAACAGTCTTAAAGTGCATAAAAAGGAAAAGGAAACAAAAAGGAAACAAGAAGATATAGAGAAAAATGTAGATTACGAGAAAGAGGCTGAAATAGTGGAATCAGCCAACAGAAAGAAGACAAAGGTTGAAAAGAAACTTAAAGAGGATCTCTCAAAACCTGACAAGGTTAAGGAACTGAAACAGATTTCAGATGATTTATCAAAACCAGACAAGTTAAAGAAAAAGAAAAGAAAAAAGTCACTAGAACTCGCAGGAAATGGTGAACATGTAAGTACAAATGTAGATCAAGAACCTGTGAAAAAGAAAAAGAAATCAAAAACTGAAAGTGGACATGTGTCAGAACAGACCTCACCAAAACAGCTATCTGTCATTGCTAGTGATAACTCTCCTTCAGAAGACAGTGAAACAGATAAGACAGAAAAGGACAGCTCACAACGAAAGAAAAAAAAGAAAAAGAAGCAGAAAGAGGACATTCCTGGTAAATTTACATACATGTCATTTGAGCCATAAGTTTTTTCTCTGCGTTTGTGATCATGTTATTTTCAAATATTATGGTAATGGCAATGACATTTTACTTNACCAATATTGCTTGATTTAATAAACATTCGCACCACTTTAATTACTTGAGATTCCATGCACCACCTAAGCTGACTTAAGAAAGAAATTATTCCTAAAATGTCAAAGCAGTTTTTCTGCCATACATTCATGGATATTATTATTAATTGAAAATTTCAATTTTTATATCTATAAACATAACAATTAATATACTGCTTTTCATTATATGCTTGGATTGCTGTGGAAAAAATAATTCATAAAAAATGAAATAATAGTTAAAGAAATTAGTTTTATGATATGTAAATGGCAGTTTTCTTTATTTTTTAAACCTGATGGACACTAAAATTACAAAAATATATCCCTGTTTCAATGATTTGTCAGTATACCACTTATTCACAGCTGATCTTGACCACACCTGTATGTTGTCACCAGGCAACAGTAGCCCCTAGGGCCCAAGCTCCCACAGGTGACACCCTGTGTATTATAATTACCTGGATAGACATATAGGAACCATGTATTACAGGTAACATGATGTAATAATGCTATACATTTTGTATATATGTAAAAAGTTTTGATAAATTTTAGGGGGGATGAGTATTTTATGGGGGATGAAAATTTTATATGACACCGGTTCCCATTTTGATTAAGAACCACACACAGAACGACTGTGCCTGTAACACATTCGTCCATTGTTTAGCTGACATTGCCATCAAAGGGGAACATGCATAATGCATAGCCTACTGTAGGCTACATGTTATCTTTCTCCTTAAATGTCTCTTATATCAATATTAAATACTTTCCATAGCCTATATGCAGATACATTACTCATTTTAGCTGTATTTTAAGTACCGGTACATTATTCAGTACATGAATAGTAATGTATATGTCAAATCTGTATATTACATAAAGTATGAAACTTAATTATATATAATGGATCTTCACTTTTTAACCTGTATTATGTGTTTAAGAACTGATATATGTAGCCACAGGGATAAATATGTTTTTAAATGTGTTCTGCATGTGACACCAAGATATTCAACCAACACTACATTGGAAAACCTCTGCACATTATTGCTGCTTAATTATCTAATTTAGTCAGGTCAGGGTTTCAGAGTTTTATATGCCTGTCTACAACAGGATGTATTATGGTATGGCAATGTCTAGCTGGGCATCAGCATACATTCACAAAACTTGAATTTTGGATGTAGATGTATTACAAAGACAATATTTTGTTACCGTAAATATGAGCATTTCTTGTATACTTTATACTGTAGCTAGATTTTCATCTTAAATGTCACCTTGGTATTACATAATATGGCTAAAAATAATGGCCTTGTTACATAAATAGGGTGGAAGTGAAGATAATCTAACACATTATTGTATTTACAAGGAAGGAACAAGTTCATATAGAGTTTATGCTCTCTCTAGATCTACTGACAGAAGGCGAGCTAGACAACAGTGAACAAGATACTGTGGTACCCAAGAAAAAAAAGAAGAAGAAAAATAAAGAAAAAGAAGAGGAGGATAAACCAAGTGGTTCTGAAGACACAAGCATTTCAGCCCAAACTGCTGCTATTAACTATTTGAAAACTTGGTCAGAAGACATTGCCAGCTGGAAGTTTCAAAAGGTCAGGCAGGTGTGGTTACTACAACATCTGTATGATGAGTCCAAGGTTTGTACACTGTAGTCAACTCACCTTCCACAAAGTGCATGGTAGCTTATAGGGTGGTGCATTGTCCTTGTCAACATTTACTTTAAATGACTTCTACTGAACTATAAAGCCTGGAGTCAAAATATTTTGTTTGTTGTGATGGATGACTAGCCTTTTTGATCTTATAAATGACTGCATTTCAAGGTCACCAGGGTCAATTTTGTAGAGGGCTATCATATTTCTTCAAATGACTTACCCACTTTCAATGTCAATGTAAAATAAAAAATAAAGACTACAGCAGCCAAAGGGCCTCTTTTTACTACTTGAGTAAAATTACATTTGTACCAAGTGTACATAATGAAAATAAGTCTGTTAAACCACTGAAAGTACTCTTTGGAAATGTATCTGTAAAATTCTATTACACAATGCACACAATTTTTAGAAGTTGTGCATTACTTGAGTAAGCATTATGTCCTTAATTGGATTATTACAAATAGTGGGGACTATGGATTTGCCCTTTAGTCATCTACTAGTGCTGATGTCTAGGTAATGTGAATAATGCACAGCTCAAATCTTCATTGGAGAAACCATGCCATCCACCTGAAGTAATAGTTACATGTATATTTGAGTTGTTGAGGTCATTATAGATAATGTGTATGCCCTGTTGCAGGTACCCAATACAGACTTTGACAGATTACTACTCTACTTAGAAAACTTAAAGGGGAAAGCAAAGGAAGAAACTCTTCTAAAAGCTTCAAAAGTTATTGAAGCTGAGGACAGTAGTTCAGATGAAGGTAAGCATGTATATCAATTTGTTGCCTATAGCATGTGACATGATGTTTCCTGTTGTTGTCTATAGCATGTGACATGGTGGAATCCCTGTTGTTGTCTATAACATGTGACATGGTGGAATCCCTGTTGTTGACTATGACATGTGCCATGGTGACATCCCTGTTGTAGACTATAACATGTGCCATGGTGGAATCCCTGTTGTTGTCTATAACATGTGACATGGTGGAATCCCTGTTGTTGTCTATGGCATGTGCCATGGTGGAATCCCTGTTGTTGTCTATAACATGTGACATGGTGGAATCCCTGTCTTTGACATGTGACATGGTAGAATCCCTGTTGTTGTCTATAACATGTGCCATGGTGGAATCCCTGTTGTTGTCTATAACATGTGACATGGTGGAATCCCTGTCTTTGACATGTGACATGGTAGAATCCCTGTTGTTGTCTATAACATGTCACATGGTGGAATCCCTGTTGTTGTCTATAACATGTGACATGGTGGAATCCCTGTCTTTGACATGTGACATGGTAGAATCCCTGTTATTGTCTATAACATGTCACATGGTGGAATCCCTGTTGTAGACTATAACATGGCCATGGTGGAATCCCTGTTGTTGACTATAACATGTGACATGGTGGAATCCCTGTCTTTGACATTTGACATGGTGGAATCCCTGTTGTAGACTATAACATGTGACATGGTGGAATCCCTGTTATTGACTATAACATGTGACATGGTAGAATCCCTGGTTTTGACTATAACATGTGCCATGGTGGAATCCCTGTTGTAGACTATAACATGTGACATGGTGGAATCCCTGTTATTGACTTAGACATGTGACATGGTGGAATCCCTGTTATTGACTATAACATGTGACATGGTGGAATCCCTGTTATTGACTATAACATGTGACATGGTGGAATCCCTGTTATTGACTATAACATGTGACATGGTGGAATCCCTGTTATTGACTATAACATGTGACATGGTGGAATCCCTGTTATTGACTATAACATGTGACATGGTGGAATCCCTGTTATTGACTATAACATGTGACATGGTGGAATCCCTGTTATTGACTATAACATGTGACATGGTGGAATCCCTGTTATTGACTATAACATGTGACATGGTGGAATCCCTGTTATTGACTATAACATGTGACATGGTGGAATCCCTGTTATTGACTATAACATGTGACATGGTGGAATCCCTGTTATTGACTATAACATGTGACATGGTGGAATCCCTGTTGTTGACTATAACATGTGACATGGTGGAATCCCTGTTATTGACTATAACATGTGACATGGTGGAATCCCTGTTATTGACTATAACATGTGACATGGTGGAATCCCTGTTATTGACTATAACATGTGACATGGTGGAATCCCTGTTATTGACTATAACATGTGACATGGTGGAATCCCTGTT